AAGACCACACCAAACTTCACTCTACCTACAATGCCTTAACGTAACAACACAATTAAACCCTCAAAGGAAGCAGGAATACAGCTTGCTCTTTAGGCTATCTATTAAGACGCGACACTCTCTTAGCGACGCGCTGCAGCCATCTACAACATGTCTTAAAGGACACTTAGTCACTAACTTACTAGAACCTCTCCACAACGCGATTGCAAGCCTAACATAATTAAGATAACTAGCACTAAAGAGGAGGTAATTGTCTAGCACGTGTTAAGGCTAGATAAGTAAGGATTCTTACCCTAACTTACTAATATAGAGGGTATAGCTAATTCTCTGCTTACTAAGCGCCACTAGACCCCTATTAGCAAGAACTAGGCTACTAACTTTGTTAAATGTTAGCTAGAGCTTAAAGTTAAGTTTAATTATAAGTATAACTACAAGAGAGCGCTGTGTGAGGATCCTAAGGTTATTAGTGACTAGTTCTAGCTTGTGGAGAATACTAAAGCTAAGTATAGTATCCTAGATAAAGACACCTACAACTTTAATAAATCTAGCTTTATAATAGGCGTTATATCCACTAGTGCTGTTGTCACAGGCTCTGAGCGTTGAGGGAGACCAAAGACAGTGCAGCAGGGCGACCAAGAGTGGACTAGCATTATCTAAGGCATCTGCGCAAAGGGCTGGTCTATCCCACCCTTTATTATCCTCTCTAGCAAGCACTACCTCTTAGCCTAGTACAAGGAGCCTAGTATACCTAACAACTAGGTTATTAGTGTCTCTAACAACAGCTAGACTAATAATAAGCTTAGAGTTAAGTAGTTAAAGCACTTTAATAAGCACACAAAGGCGCGCACTATTGGCAGCTACTAACTGCTTGTTCTAGACGGCCATGAGAGCTACAACTTAGTCAAATTCTACTAGTACTGTGAGGAGCACAAGATTATTACTCTGTGTATGCCCCTACACTCATCCTATCTGCTACAGCCGCTTGACGTGGGTTGTTTCTCCCCATTAAAGAAGGCCTATGGCCGCCAAGCCGAGCAGCTGATGCGGAGCAAGATCACTCGCATTACCAAACTTGAGTTCTTGCCGTGCTTTAAAGCTGCTTTTAATGCTTCAATTACTAAGAGCAACATCTAGGGAGGATTCAGAGGCACTGGCCTAGTCCTGTTTAACCTAGAGGCTGTGATATCAAAGCTTGAAGTACAGCTACGCACGCTAACGCCACCTATTGTAGACAACAGCACGTGGGAGTCTAAGACACTAAGCAACACCCTAGAATTTAGGTCTTAATTAAAGCTGATTTGAGAGAGGATCTAGAGACACGCTAATAGCTCACTAACATTAATAGTTAACGCCCTTAATCAGCTCACTAAAGGCGCAGAGCTAATAGCGCATTCACTAGTTTTAGTGCGCAACTAGGTTGCTAACCTTTAGGTAGCTAATAAGGCTGCCACACGCTGTAAATTACACAAAAGAAAGCAATTACAGCAAGATAGGGTATTAACCTTTGCTAAGGGAGTGCGGCTAACTACTCTAAAGGAGTTTGAGGCCTGTAGTGATGGGAAGAAGGTAAAGAAGAGAGGAGGCGCTAATAGCAGCACTTAGTTATTAAGACACTGTAGCATGTGTGGCAAGGCAGGGCACAACAGGACAACGTGTAAGAAAGATGCGCAAAGTACTGTAGATTAGTGCAATATACTGTGTAGTACATGATATTGTTGTTGTGTGCTGTAATGTTGTAAAGTAGTTG